AGGGGGAAGGTAGAAGGGGGAAGGTAGAAGGTGGAAGGTAGAAGGGGGAAGATAGAAATGGGAAGGTAAAAGGGCCCAAGGGGGAAGGTAGAAGGGGGAAGGTAGGGAGGAAGGTAGAAGGGGGATGGCAAAAGGGGGAAGGTAGAAGGTGGAAGGTAGAGGGGTAGAATGTGACTTGTTTCCCTAACATGAATAAATAGGTGGTTTAGCAGGTCATAAGTCACTTGTTGCCTAATGGTTGAAGAATTCCTTTTCCATATTTGATGAAAGATAGAACAGTTATATCATTGTATTACGTCAAGAAGGAACAGTTATATCATTGTATTATATCAAGAAGGAACAGTTATATCATTGTATTTTATTAAGAAGGAACAGTTATATCATTGTATTATATTAAGAAGGAACACTTATATCATTGTATTACATCAAGAAGGAACAGTTATATCATTGTATTATATCATGAAGGAACAGTTATATCATTGTATTTATTAAGAAGGAACAGTTATATCATTGTATTATATTAAGAAGGAACCACTTATATCATTGTAAAGCTATGTATTGTCCTAACCGACCATCTAAGAATCTATCTATCCTTCCATCTACTTTCTATTATTCTATATATGTCTATATCTATAAATTTGCATATCTATCTAACCCATCTACATCTATCTATAATTATATATAAATGATAGATATGTTTAAGCCTAGGTAAGGATATCTGGAATGATTATATATATATATATATATATATATATTATATGTATGTTTAAACCTAGGTAAGGATATCTGGAATGATTATATATATATATATGTATGTATGTTTAAACCTAGGTAAGGATATCTGGAATGATTAGCTGAATATGTGCCCCTAGGTGTTGTTGTATAGTTACTAGTTAGTGTAGGTCATACAGCTGCCAGCAATATATATATCTATCTTTCTATATTTCTATCTGTCTTAAATTCTCACATGGTTTAAGACCCATCCTTGCAGATGCAGAAAAGTGCACTTATCCTTGAATTTCTGGCCTTCAACGTGTTTTCCATAGAACTAGGTTCAGTTTCCTCAACTAGATTAAACGGTTCATAGAAATCCACAATATCTAGGATTTCGAGCAGATATCCTAGAAATCCACTATATCCCTGATTTCAGGCAGATATCCTAGAAATCCACAATATCCTGGATTTCGAGTGGATAACCTAGAAATCCACAATATCCTGGATTTTAAGCAGATATCTCAGAAATCCAGAATATCCTGGATTTCTAGCAGATATCCAAGAAATCAACAATATCCTGGATTTAAAGCAGATATCTTAGAAATCCACAATATCCTGGATTTCAAACAGATATCCTAGAAATCGACTATATCCTGGATTTCGAGCAGATATTAAAGAAATCAACAATATCCTGCAGGGGTTCGAGTAGATATCCTAGAAATCGACGATATCCTGGATGTCATTTAGATATCCTAGAAATATAACGGATATCCTATTATTCTGATGGAAATCCTAGAAATAGTAGAAGCATATTGAAACATACAATACATATCTATGCATGAATGGATCAAATATCTCATAATAGTTTCTATGCAATGTTCTTCAAAGAATGTGAAACCTAATAAAACTATTTCTCTGACTAGGTTTAGATATACCTGAGATAAAGACTCCACTAAGAGAAGGTAGAACCCTGCAGTCCCTGGTTCATGGTCTCCTAGGACAGATTGATGTTCCTCTCCCTCTTCATCTTCTGCTCTGCTCAAATCCAAACCCTGCAGATAATCTAGCATATATCCAGGTATTTAGATAATCTAGCACATATTCAGGTATTTTCTTACTTCAATGTAATAAAATGTTAGCAACATGTTATCTATATGTATAAAGTTGTAATCTCTGTTTGTCTGTCTGTTTGTTTTTCCGATCATAACTCGGAAACCCCTGGACCGATTTGCCTCAAATTTTGATTGGGAAACTTGGGAGGCCCACGGAAATGCTCTTAGTTTGATTTTAAGATTTTAAGTTAAGAGGATCGACTTTAATGGCGAAAATTTGGTTTCCCTGTAAAACCCAGTTTACAGTAGGAGTAACTTTTAGTAACCTTGGCAGCGCTGGGTTCCCAAGCTAGTATGTTAATATTATGTAACATAATGTTAGTAATATGTAACCAAATGTTAGCAACATGTGACATAAAGTTATGAACTTGTAACATGTGGTTAATATGCATAAAAATGTTAGCAAAATGTGACGTAGGGTTAGTATCTTGTAACATAATGTTAGTAATATGTAACAAAAAGTTAACAGGTTGTTACATCATGTTAGCACTTTAAAAACACTATTCAAGCAACACGTAACATAATGTCAGCTTTTTTGTTTCCTTTACTTGTGAGTAAGGTTTTTTATTATAATTTTCATTATAATTTTTTCTTTTTAAAGCATGGTTCATGGTAGATGTTGACCTGTATTTACCTGCCTTTATATTTCCAGACACATAATGTTTTATTTTTAAATGGATATTTTTTTTTGTATATTGTAAATTATGTTTTGTGTTGAAAACATGCAAGGATACTGAATCTCAATGATATGTCCCCTAACCCTAAACAAAATATTCATTTTGTTTGAAAAAAATTAAAGATTAGAAAACAAAGGTTGCAAATATGAACTGAATATAATGAATATAATGAATTTAATGAATATAATGAAAGAATTTTAAATAAAATCAAAACAATAAAAATTATACAAAAGGCTGGTTACTCTGAACAAGGGTGGAACTCTGAAATGGGGTCAAACATTTTCATGATAAAAAAAATTGAAGATAATTATTTTTTAATTTTTGATTTTGTTACAATCTTTATTGACAAGCTGTGTTGTTACCGTGAATTGGTAGAATGTTAAGTAGAGCTGAAAGTCAATTCTTGGTCATGGTGAACAAGTTTAATGTGCAAAATTAATGCAAGCTAAGTGTTAGTTCTTTGAACTTTTTTATTATTCCTTAAGCAGAATGATTTAACCAGTTTCCTCGTTCCTCAACTTTTATCAAAAGATTTCCTGAATAATGCTGATATTCAGAAATGGCGCGTGATGTGATGATTTACACGTGTTGATGTGTGTGCGGCATGTGCACATATCCGCACGTTGCTGCTGTTGTTGTTGTAATGACTGAAACAGATTCAACGCTCGGATGAATTCTGCAACAATGGTTTAGATTTTCATTCATCTACAGGATTCACCATAGATTTAACAAAACTAAATCAATATCAAATTTTGATTTTGTTTGTAGCATCTGATAGATTTAACTTAAGATCTAATTTTAAAATTGCATAAGGAAAAATATGCAAATTGCAGATACGGTAGTATATTCACAACAGCTCAAGAAAAAAAGTTCAAATTAAATGAAAGATCCGAATAACATTTTAGTAATAATCCAATTATTATCTTTTTTTGGCCAACATTGTGACAATAAATCTTTGTAATGTTCTTTAATCAATTTAGATTATGCACATTTTTTTCTAGGACGTACTCCCTGAGATTTCTGTGAACTCCAGTGCTCTCAGTCTGATAGCTGAGAGAGAGAGAACAGACTCTATCCTTGACTCTGGTCCTGACACTGACCAGCTCGCTGGTTATATCTGTAAGGAGCTCCAGGAACGAATTGATTTGTTAAGGTATTTCCCAGACTTTAGTTTCTTAAACAAATATTTTGTTAATTCCGAATGCTAAAAAAAAATAAAAAACCCAAATTTAAAGTTGAAAACTTGCTAATTGTAAATCTTCTTCAAGTACATTGTTTGTCTGAAATCAGATTCATAAATTCTCACATGGTTTAAGAATAGATCTGCAACTAACTAATTTTAATTTTAGTATCTGTCTGTACATTGCCTCAGTTACCTATTCAAACAAATTTTAATGCACAAACATATTTTGTTAAATAGTAAAAAGTAGTTGAATGTTGTTTTGCTTCTCTATTCTTGATACATTCCACGATGATTCAACAACTTTGCACCACTGAGGACTTTTGTCGTCTTTTAACTTTTTAATTGCATACAAGTACAAAATATGAATGCGTGTTAAATATGTATTATCATGTTTTGAACAGAGTTTAATAAATAAACATACAATAACATTACAAGCCCGCATATGTCTTGGTCACAGGATTTAATAAGAGCAAGATGATACTCGCAACATGGTAAATGATGCCGCAAAATTATTCACAAATCCTCACGATCCGTCGTCTTTGCACACAGCTGTTTTTACAGACATTGCTAACTGAATAATTTAGGTGTCGTCTCTCCATTCTTGAATCTGAGTGGGGTGAGAACAATGCTACGCTTGCAATCATTCAATCAACCCTTTGTCCTCATTTACAACATTCACAGGTAACAGTTTAGTAACTTTCAACAGTTATATCATTGTATTATATTAAAAAGGAACAGTTACATCATTGTATTATATTAAGAAGGAACAGTTATATCATTGTATTATATTAAGAAGGAACAGTTATATCATTGTATTATATTTAAAGGAACAGTTATATCATTGTATTATATTAAGAAGGAACAAGTATATCATTGTATTATATCAAGAAGGAACAAGTATATCATTGTATTATATTAAGAAGGAACAGTTATATCATTGTATTATATAAAAAGGAACAGTTATATCATTGTATTATGTCAAGAAGGAACAGTTATATCATTGTATTATATTAAGAAGGAACAGTTATATCATTGTATTATATAAAAAGGAACAGTTATATCATTGTATTATATCAAGAAGGAACAGTTATATCATTGTATTATATTAAGAAGGAACAGTTATATCATTGTATTATGTAAGGAAGGAACAGTTATATCATTGTATTATGCCAAGAAGGAACAGTTATATCATTGTATTATATTAAGAAGGAACAGTTATATAATTGTATTATTTTAAAAAGGAGCAGTTATATCATAGTATTATATCAAAAAGGAACAGTTATATCATTGTATTATATCAAGAAGGAACACTTATATCATTGTATTATATTAAGAAGGAACAGTTATATAATTGTATTATATTAAGAAGGAACACTTATATCATTGTATTATATCAAGAAGGAACAGTTATATCATTGTATTTTATTAAGAAGGAACAGTTATATCATTGTATTATATCAAGAAGGAACAAGTATATCATTGTAAGAAGGAACAGTTATATCATTGAAAGATAGAACAGTTATATCATTGTATTACGTCAAGAAGGAACAGTTATATCATTGTATTATATCAAGAAGGAACATTCTATCTATCTATCTATCTATCTATCTATCTATCTATCTATCTATCTATCTATCTTTCTATCTATCTATCTATCTATCTATCTATCTAGATGAACCAGCTGAGCTGCTACAGCAAGGAACTAGAGATATCAACGAGACTGCTCTACTCCCTCTCCTCCTCCCTCACTTCCTGCGCCTCTAATATTATCTCCCTCACACTCATCCAGGATAAACCAACATCACAGCTAGCACAGCTAGCCTTAGACAGGTAGACTTGCTAGCCTAGCTAGCACTAGACAGGTAGACCAGCTAGCCCAGCTAGCACTAGGAAGGAAGACTAGCTAGCTGCAGTTAGCTTTAAACAGGTAGACTATCTTGGCCAGCTAGCATTATACATGTAGACTAGATAGCCAGCTATAATTGGACAGGAAGACTAGCTAGCACAGCTATCATTAGACAGGCAGGGTAGCTAGCCCAGCTAGCACTAGGCAGGAAGACTAGCTAGCACAGCTATCATTTGAGAGATACACTAGCTGGCACAGCTAGCATTAGACAGGTAGACTAGCTGCACAGCTAGCATTAGGCAAGAAGAATAGCTAGCACAGCTATCATTAGACAGGTACACTAGCTGGCACAGCTAGCATTAGACAGGTAGACTAGCTGGCACAGCTAGCATTAGACAAGTAGACTAGCTGGCACAGCTAGCATTAGACAGGTAGACTAGCTGGCACAGCTAGCATTAGACAAGTAGACTAGCTGGCAATAGACAGTAGACGATATCCCAAAAAACTTTTTGTCTTTCAAAACATTTAAAATTGTAAACTTAAGCATTCTTGTTCTAATTTTTGTGGGAATGAATTACTGTGTTTCGCCGTTTGCAATTTAAACCTGGAGTTAGGCTGAAGAATTTAAGCTCTGTCATCTTCAATACAATACATTCACGATTTGATTTTGCTAGAGAAAACCTCTCTCAAGTATTTTCTTTTACTTTTTCTCTTCTCATTCTGTTATTTTGTAAACAATTTAGAAACAGAATCCCAGATTTACAGTTAAATTCTCAGGAGAAACTTCCTTGTTTACCTCAAAGCATTAAAATAAGGACACAGTATGTATTATGCTTTTAGAATCCTATCCCAAAGCGTTAAACCCCCAATTGAATTCTTAGTTGTTATTGATGTTAAAAATAGCGACCATTAATGTAAAAGCTAATTTATCTATAACATAATAATCATAAATGTTACAGAATTCATTTACGTAAAATTTACTGTTTTGTAGAAATCAAGCAGTGTTCTATTTTAGGGAGTTCGATAGGCATCAGCTGCGTAAAGATGGATTCATCGAGAAACTTGACGAAGCCAAGTTCTTGAAACAGCTGATTAACAAGAGAAGAAGCAGAATTGAACAGCTGATCAGCCGCCATCTTGCCCCACTTTACATTGAGAAGTTTGCGGATTTTTCCACTAAACTAGTCGATATTGTGTATGGAGAAATGGCAGTAAAGGAGAAAATGCGATGTCTAGAGAGACAGAGAAACGCACTCAAAATTCTTTTTAAAAATGTGTCCATCTCAGTACTCTGATTTTAACAATGCAATAAAATTCGCCGACCCCTCCCCCCCCCTCTTTCCTTTACAGGAAAAATGTTCGAAAAACTCTTTAAAGAAATGAACCCGGTGATACGCTGATAAATATATGTAAAAGTACTATAACTGCACCTCGTATTGTTCTAATCAGAAATTAAAACGTTTTCACTAAATTTACAGAAAAAAGAAGACGACTGGAGCACTTAACAATATTTTACCATTTCTGCTTCAGGGATATGAACAAAATATGTTCTCTGAAATAAGGGTTAGGCTTTCAAACATTCTAAAAGTTTTGCTAAAAGTTCTAAACCCTTTCAAGTGTCAGATATCCGTTCACTTGGTAAAAGTACTTGATCTTCATCAGTTTTAATATTTTTTGTTTAATTTTCATCTTTGTCTATTGTAAGGGAATAATGAATCTTTATTGATAAATTGTAATTACTTGATGATATAATTAATTAATATCTATTAATTGTATTTTTAGTATAATTTAGTTAATTGGTAAACTTGGACTGTGTTTTCACAAAAGGAGCTTTATATTCATTATTATTATTATTATGTCTTAATATAAATAAAAAATTATTTATTAGTTTTCACAAATAGATAGAAACAGAGATAGATAACTGTTTTAATAGATGAATAGATAGAAACAGAAATAGATAACTGTTTTAATAGATGGATAGATAGACACAGAGATAGATAACTGTTTTAATCGATAAATAGATGGAAACAGAGATAGATTACCGTTTTAATAGATAGAAACAAAGATAGATTACTGTTTTAATAGATAAATAGAAAGAAAGACAAAATTTAGATGAAAAGATCAGACTAGAATCTAAATGGAAATTAGTTTGTAAATTTTCTAAGGGACTGTTAACGTTTTTTCAAGTAATCCCCCATTTAAAGATATTTTTAATGATTCAAATCAGTACTCTTAAATCCTCAACCAATATCAGAACATCTTAAAAAGTTCAAATTGTACATTTTAAATCGAGAAAAGATAATGTCTTCCTCATTGTTACTCAGATAAAAATGATAAGGGTACTTTAATGAATCTTTAAATATGAAATTATGTCTACAATCCCATTAAGAGAGAATACAATTCTGAAATAACCATAACAAAATTGCTACAAATCTGTTGTCAAAGTGAATTGTTCTAAATAGTATGTTATCCCTTTAATGGAGTGTTTACCAAGGGAGTTAGCGTGGGAGTAAAATTATGATTAAGTGAAATATTACGTGTTAAAGGGAGAGACTAAAGTTTCATAATAATTACTTTCTTCACATGGATCTTCAGAACATCCTCCCTAAATGAATTCAAAGTTTAGAAATGTTTCCAGATGTTTGAGGTACAGTGATACCCATAAAACTGTGGAATTGGAAGACAACTGGTGAATAAATTATGATATTTTCTAGTCCAATAAACATGAAACACAATAATTGTGCAGTATATCACTGAACCATTAACTAGTTGCTCTTCAACCTACCATAATCTAAATATTTTTTTTATTTGTCCATTCCCTACCCCTTTCAAAGCTAATATTTAGCACAGCCCGAAAAGAAAATTGCATTGTGCGAATTGTATGATAATGCAAAATTTATTAATTAGAGATTTCTTCCTGTAATTAGAATTTTGCGAGTATAAAATATTTTGAAGAGTTTTAATTTGATGAATAAAAAGATTACAAAATGCACTAATTTCCATCATAAATGTCGGGTAGTTTTTGGATTCTTTCTTAATTATTAAAAGTTTGCAAAATCCTATACAAATATTTTTTTAGAAATCTTATACATAGATTTTTTTTAAGGTTCATTTAAAGTTGGCTTCTAAATAAAACCTGGAGAGAGGCGATATATATATATATATATGGTGAATTGGAAATGTGCGTGCACCGGTGTGAAAAGATTTCTATAAATTGAGTCAATGGTTAAATTGTGATTGAAAGAATTGAAAGAATTGAAAGAATTGGGAGGATTGATAGATAGAAAATAGTTCAGGTAAATAGATAGACAGATAGATAGATAGATAGAAAACGGTTTAGGTAAATAGAAAGATAGATAGATAGCAAACGGTTTAGGCAAATAGAAAGATAGAATAATGGATGAATAGAAAACGATTTAGGTAAATAGAAAGATAGATAGATGAAAATAAGGTGTAAGCAAATAGAAAGATAGAATAATAGATGAATAGAAAACGGTTTAGGCAAATAGAAAGATAGATAGATAGAAAACAGTTCAGGTAAATAGAAAGATAGATGGATAGAAAATGGTTTAGGTAAATAGAAAGATAGATAGATAAAAACACTTTAGGTAAATAGAAAGATAGATAGATAGAAAATGGTTTAGGTAAATAGAAAGATAGATAGATAAAAAACAGTTTAGGTAAATAGAAAGATAGATAGATAGAAAATGGTTTAGGTAAATAGAAATATAGATAGATAGAAAATGGTTTAGGTAAATATAAAAATAGATAGATAGAAAATGGTTTAGGTAAATAAAAAGATAGATAGATAGAAAATGGTTTAGGTAAATAGAAAGATAGAAAGATAGAAAATGGTATAGGTAAATAGAAAGATAGATAGATCAAAAATATTTCAGGTAAATAGAAAGATAGATAGATAAAGAACGATTTCGGTAAATCGAAAGATAGATAGCTAAAGAACGATTTAGGTAAAAAGAAAGATAGATAGATAAAAAACGGTTTAGGCAAATAGAAAGAAAGAATAAAAGATTAATAGAAAACGGTTTAGGTAAATAGAAAGATAGATAGAAAATGGTTTAGGTAAATAGAAAGATATATAGATAGAAAACGGTTTAGGCAAATGAAAGGATAGATAGATAAAAAACAGTTTAGGCAAATGAAAGGATAGATAGATAAAAAACGGTTTAGGCAAATGAAAGGATAGATAGATAAAAAACGGTTTAGGGAAATGAAAGGATAGATAGATAAAAAACGGTTTATGTAAATAGAAAGATAGATAGATAGTAAATGTATTAGGCAAATGAAAGGATAGAAAGAAAACAAAGGAAGGTAAGTAGAGAGAAAGATAGTTAGAGAAGAGGATTTTTGTAAATAGAAAGATGGATAGATAAAAAACGATGTGTTTCAATACAAAGGAACTGAACATTTGCTTCAAACTCTAAATGTCTAATCTTTGCAACCCAATGTTGTAGACCTTAGACATTTTAAACTATAAAATCTGCAAGATCAGAAAGTAAAAGTATGAAATATCTAATGTTTAGACTTTATAATTTCAAAGATAAGATTTAGAATGTTAGTTTCTTTTGATCCTTTGATTTATAAAATTATCTGATCGAAACCTGAGTAATGTGAATTACCGATTATATTTTTGTTTATCCCTCTAAAGGGAGTGACCGGCAATGTATGGTAGTTAAACTGAGAATGTAGTGTTGTGGAGAACTTATAAGGATTCATATGAGACATTTAAAACGTTGTAATGACGAATAATTACTAAAGTTGAGTGCAAAGTCGACTTTCAAAATCATCAATTTGGGTAGTTACGTTTTGAGAATCGATTTTTTTAAATCATTAAAAAACGACGACAAAAAATGTATCAAAAATTCTACAGTAAACTAATTAGTTGTTTAGGAACAAGTTGAGAAAATTAAAATTAACTCTCATAATCGAAAATAAGTAATCTCATTCAGTTATTTATTTTTGTAATCTCTCATTGTTCACAAAAATGTTCTGGAATTTTTATTGAAAAGACGACATTTGAAGAATTTGTAGAAATCTGCGAACAAATCCGTAAAGAATAAGAAATTCAATATAATGATGAAAAAAAAATAATTCACTCTAGCATTTATTTATTGACAAATTTCTATTTAGAAATATGTTCCTAAACATCTAATTAGTTTACTGTAGAATTGTGATACATTTTTCGTCGTCGTTATTCAATAATTTTAAATAAATCGATTCTCAAAGCGTAACTTTGTAATTATACATCATTAAAACGTGTTATATATATATATATATGTCTCAAATGAATCCTAACTAATTTTCCACAGCACTACATTCTCAGCTCAACTACCAAACACTGCCGGTCACTCCCTTTGAAGAAATAGAAGAGATAGATTTTATGAGTAGTGGACATTAGACTATTACATTTTTTGTAGATAACTAGATGGAGAAAATTTCTCTACGCCAGATGTTGATTTTTTAGCAAACACTTTCATCATGTATATTGATAGATAGTTAGATAAATAGATAAATAGATAGCTAAATAGATAAATAAATAGATATATAGATAAATAGATAGATAGATAGATAGATAAATAGATAGATAGATAGATAGATAGATAGATAGATAGATAGATAGATAGATAGATAGATAGATAGATAGATAGATAGATAGATAGATAGATATATAAATTGATAGATAGATATAAAATATATAATAATTTAAAAGTTTGATACTAAAACAAGAAAAATAATTTAAAATGATTCATTAAATAGAAAAAAGAAAGTGAAATGAACGTTAATTCTGTAAACATGTGAATTGCATTTTGTAAATTTCTTTATCAGGAGCTAGTACGGGAGCTAGGGAGCTAGGGAACTAAGGAACTAGGGAACTAGGGAGTAGGGAGCTAATGAACTAGGGAGCTAGGGAACTAGGGAACTAAGGAGCAAGGGAACTAGGGAACTATGGAGCTAGGGAGCTAAGGAGCTATGGAGCTATGGAGCTAAGGAGCAAGGGAACTAGGACACTAAGGAGATAGAAAACTACGGAACTAGAGAATTATGGAGCTAGGGAACTAAAGAGCTGAGGAACTAGTGAACTAGGGAGTAGGGAGCTAGTGAACTAGGGAACTAAGGAACTTGGAAGCTATGGAGCTAGAGAACTAGGGAACTAGGAAGCTAGGGAACTATGGAGCTAGGCAGCTAGGAAACTATGGAACTAAGGAACTAAGGAGCTAGGGAACTAGGGAACCAGAGGACTAGGGGACTAGGAAGCTATAGGGAGCTATGGAAATAGGGAGAATGGAACCAAAGGACTAGGGGCTAGGAAGCTATAGGGAGCTATGGAAATAGGGAGCATGGAACCAGAGGACTAATGGGGCTAGGAAGCTATAGGGAGCTACGGAACTAGGGAGCTAAGGAGCTA